TTGAAAAAAATTTGATTTTGTATTTTTTTATTTGGTTGATTGCAGAGCTGCTCAAGCTTTGAAGTGTTTGGGATTTATGATCTATCATCCTTCCCTTGTTGCTACAATTCCAGGTAATTTTTTATGTATTTTTCAAGTAAGATTTTCGAAATGTTACCGTAAATTGTTGTTGATTTAGTTTGTAGCCTTGGTTTTGCAGCTGAAGATGCTAAGCTGGTTTTAGAGTCGGTGGCTAAACTCGTTTCTGTCACAAATATGAAGGTAAATATGTTACTATCATAGTACAATAGTAGGGTTCCTTTCTTTTTTCTATAATTCTTTTCACTTTCTTTTTTTTTTCATAAATTTTAAGTTGTTCATCTCTTAATTGCAGTCCCTTTGCAATTTAGGCGTGTGGTGTATATCAATTCAACAATTTGATGTTGCAGTTTTGGCCGCCTGCTTCAATACATTGTTGAGGGCAGTTGTGCATGCCCTTGATAATCCTATTGGCTCATTGTCAACAACATTTGAGGCCATGCAGGTATAGTTATTTATTTGGATGTTTCATAGTCATGTTTGGGTGTCCAATTGTCCATCAAGGAATCACTGCAGCGGTGTTTGTATTTACATTGATTCATTAGCAAAGTTTATTAAAAGATTCATTTACGTATTTATTCTTCCAATAACATCCTGGATTTGCTGGTAACCTCTCCTTCATAGAGTGTGTTAAAAAGGTCTACATGGGAAAAGGTGAGGGGCCATGCACGCTGTTTGAGTTCTAATTTTGAATTCAATTTATTATGGCAAATTTATGGTCCCTTGAACTTTAAAATTTGAGTTGTATTACGGTAGGACTTTTACTGCCTTGTCATATGTACTAAACTCTTCAATGCTAACTGTGTTAGGCTGTGACAAAGTTAACTGCCCAATTGAGTGAATTGATGAGAGAATCATCACACCTATGGGCACCTTTAATTTATAGAAGATTTCTCTGCTGTGATAAGAGAGAGCGGGATATGTCAGAGAGGTGTTTTTTGAAGATTAGGTCCACAATATTTCCTCCACCAATAAATCTTTCCAAGGTACTTCTAACTGGCATTTGTTCTCACCATTTTTTAATGCACTCTTTCCTTTCAAGTTCCCTGTTTATTAAAAGAGGTGCATATGACATGCTTTACATATTGACATGACAGAGGTTAGACTAATTGCATGCTTTAGTTGTTTATTATTTTAAAGAGATCATATCACTAGCTTGCAATAATACATTAAATCTCAAGATGTTATTCCAAATTAAATTCCCTTAAAGTTATTACCAGTAGTATTTATTAGAGTGGGAATGCAGCTTGTGCTTTGGAAGGCCTTCTGACCAATTATTGACAGTCTTCTTTACCACCATCCCTTCTCTATTTACTACAGTAAATATGTGGAGTGTGCTTTTGTGATAAAAAGTAAAAACTGCACTTTAACAATTAACATGCACTTGAACTCTAATAATTTCTTAAAAGTACACACAAATACTAACACATTCATTTATTCTTCTAGGAACATACGTTTATGTTATGCTTCAAGAAGATTTAATTTCAGAAAACTTACTAGAAAAACATGTTTAAGTCAAATATCATCAATTCCCTTTGTTTCCAAACAGAACAAGTGCAACTAGGAAATTTGGTACGCAGGAGAGGCCAATTATGAAAAATTGAAATTCAGAATTTGAAACCCAAACCATTTCTTGGAAAGAGATTGGTTGAAAGTTTATTTGGTCCAACCAGTTGGAATCTAATGCTTGCAACCAGTCTGGTCTATCATTCCGACTACTCATCTCAGCCCTTCCTAATCAACAAGAGAAGCTCTCATTATCAAACAGCCAGACATCTACTTTAATGGTAAAAATAAAGCTTCAAATGGCTACGAAATTTTGTATAGGTTAGAGATATGTATGAGCTGAATAACATGAAAATCTGTTTGTTAAGTTCCTTTATTCAACTCATCTAAATGCAGAAACCTAACCATTTTCCTTGATGCTGTTTCAAGATATAAAATTATAAAACTTGGTTGAAGGTGTTTTGCAACATTGCATGATTACTATTCTATAATCTTATATCAGTTGCACTCCATATTTCTTAAGCAGGCTATCATTCAAGACATGAAGCAAAAATTGCTGACAGGGATGAAGGACCAGTTAGACAAGGGCATGAAGGTTCAAACTGTCCAGGCGTGGGGATGGTTTATCTGCTTCCTAGGATCTGATGCCTTGAAGAACAGACATCTAGTAAATCAGATGTTGAAAGTCCCTGAGCAGACATTTCAAGATCACAATCCACAAGTCCAGATTGCTACGCTGGTATTACTGATAAAATTTTACTTTAAAACTTTTTCTGAAAGGCTAAAAATATTTTATTCTGTTAAACAGGGGAGTAGAAAGCAGAACAAGAAATACAGTTCAGCTAAAAATATTTAAACTTTAGTTATATATCCTGTCTTTGACAATCTCTTGCACAAGCATAGATGTTTTGATTATACTCAAATAAGAACGTTTTCTGTTTCTTGGTTTGTTGTTCCACAGTTAGCTGTGCTTTCATAAACTATAGAAAGATATTTTTTCCTTCGAGAATACTTATGAGAAATTTTGTACAGAATTCATCTAGAGATCTGGAAGTTCTAAGGTCCAACAACTTAAAAATATATGCGCAGACAATTGTTTAGTTCAATCCGAATATGCTGGCTCTTGTGCTGGGCCAATCCCAAGTTCCCAGATGTAAATGGGGCTAATTGTATAATTTAAGTGTGGACTGTGCCCTTAAGCATACTGACTTGGGATAGTTCAGGATCAAACAACTTGGTTTATTATCTTTACTGTTGGCTTTAAACGGATTTATTTTGGAAGTATTTATGACTTGTTGAACATCTTCCTGCCGATGGTCGTGTCTTCATTTTGTAGGTTGCCTGGGAAGGTCTTATTGATGCCTTTGTTCATCCTCCAATGCTGGCTTGCAAGAAAAATGTAACCTTACAGAATGGAATTCAATGCTTACAAACATCCCCAGGGAAGAGCTGTGAAATGCAGTTAAATGGATTTTCAAAATGCTTAAAGCTCATTATGACACCTCTAATAGGCATCATTTCGAGCAAATGTGATGTATCTGTTCACGTCTCCTGCTTGAACACATGGTGTTATCTTCTACATAAACTTGATACCTCCATCAACGCTCCATTGGTAAATAAATTGGTATTGGATCCTATATTTGAAGCAATTTTGAAAATAGGACCAAGTAGTAAAAGTATCTGGTTGTGGAATTTGTGCCTGGATTTGCTTGATGATTGTATATCAGTGAACTGTGCAGATTTGGACTCTAATCTAAAGGACCAGGTAAACCTTTGTTTATCAGCTAGAAACTTCATTCCTGTTCCTTGTACGTCTGGCAGATATTCATGGAAGCAATATCCTATTAAATGGTTGCCATGGGAGCTTAGTCAGTTGGATTTCTACTTAAAGCTGATTACTATTATTCTTACTCACGTGGCTACAGCAACAGCTGCCCCTGAAAGCAGAAAATCAGCTTCTGATGCTTCTGTGAGGATATTTAGATCTGTTTTAAAGGGAGTCCATATGGAGTTTAGAAATCCGTCAAATAATTATGATAATATTATGTGCTGTTTGAACACAATATTAAAGTTCATTAAGAGAATAGGCGAAGATGCTAGTTCAGAAGGTTGTGGATTTAATGACTTGTTTAATACTTCAGTTCATTTTATAGATGTAGTTGCTGAGGAGTTAGAACCTTCTATTGTTGGATCCCCTCTTTATAAAGTGGCTTTAGACATCAAGTACATTGGCAGTCTGGATTCAGTCGATATTAAACATGCAAAAATACTGGATCAGCATTCCATTGCTTTTACGGATATGGTTTCACCTATGGTTTATCTAACTGCACTGTACTTCAGTTTGCTGGTTCAATTAACTATAAATACACCTGAGATGGAATTGATTCTACAAAAGTTTCAAAACTTTTCTAAATGTGTACTCTCTTCATATGATCCCCTGGAAAGTTTTCTAGCTTCTGTTGGTTTACTGTACAGGCACATGGGCTTTAACTACATAGAGATATGGATGGCAATAGCGAAAGGTCTGAATGACTATATTGATGGTATGAAGGATATCTCGGTATTCAAAACAGATTCTGACAATTCTTTTTATAGAGCCATATGCCATCTCTTATCATATCCATTCATTTTGTTCTCTTGTTGTCAGAAAGATTTAAACCTGTTGAAATCTAGTGACTCCTTGAAAGAATGTTTTGTTTTATCAGAGAGAAAACTTGAACAGGCCATTGAGGTTTGGAAGTCATTATATGGTTCTGTTATTGTTGCAGACTTTAAGTCTTCTGCTGCCAACACTTTTAGTGGTGATCTATGTGCAATGTTAAACAGGTGTTTTGATGAATATGGTAGCCTGTTTGAGCATGAGAGTGAGCTTGGTTTATATTACAGGGATCTGGAGCCTGCTTGCATTTCTTTCTGTGGAAAGGTTGTGGTATGTATTCTGAAACAGAAGCTGACTTCAGATACAAGTTCATATGGAAGTGGAAAAGAATGTGTTGGTGCCTGCAATATATCCATTGACATTAACAATATTTTAAAATTTGCTTCCAGGTAAATGGAAACATTTATAACTACTCTTCTTCCTAATGCCTTCTTTACCTGCATTTGTGTAAAATTGTATCCTCATTTGCAGTTGAATTGCCAGGCACTAGTGCTTGATATTCAGAAATCCCTTTGGGGAATTACTGTGTTTCTTCTGGATCTGGTTCATTTCCTGGCCTGCTTCCCCCTTTGCCATTTCAAATTAAAAAGTGTATTACTTTTATGGATGCAATGTTCAACATTTAGTACAGCTACTTACAAAGCTGTCCTAAACATAGAAGTAAACCTGTTGGGTAACGAAAAGCTAAAGTTTTAATAATCCAGTTGAACCATGATCTATATGAGAACTTAGCCAAGTAATCTATCTGATTCTTGTGACAACAAAAATCAGAATTGTGCACGTTGCTCATTGTATTATTAAGGAGGCACATGTTCTCATAACTGGTTACAAACAAACAGGCTTTAATTTGAGTTCAAATAATTAGACACAGAAAATCTTCCCTGTTTTTTTTTTTTCGGGTGTGTGCGTATTAGGGTGCTTAAATATTCCCCAATCCCAAAGCTGTTGTTCATTTGTTGCTTAATATGCTGCAGAGTCTTGAAGTACATAAATATAGGAACAGAACCACTGGCAGGTCTTGTGAGTTCAAGGTAAATCACTCCTCTTTCCTATTTATGCTTCATGTTGAGGTTTTTCTTTCATAAATCTTTACATGTTTATGTTTCTTTTATGTGAGTTGGTTTCAGGGTATGTTCTGCATTGGCATGCTTCATTAGTTGCCTTCACTTGAAGCAAGATATTCTTTCATTTTTTGAGGTTTGTATTTTTTGCTGTGTTTATCATGTTACCACTAGCATGCTGAGTAAAAACTTCTCTTGAGCTCTTGCATCTCATTTATGCCATCAATATATAGCTGATCAATTACAAAGCCCCAACATACACACAAACACATTAGTCAAATCAATATAAGCCTTTTAAATTTGTGAAGTTGAAACAGGTTTTCTTTTTCTTTTTCTTTTTCTTTTAACAAATTGAGATGGACGAAGTGAGAGATGAATGTTCATTTCACGAAAAAGGATGGTTTTCAAGTTCTATTTTCACTTCAAAACTCTTTTTAGTAGGACAAGAAATTAACGTGTTTTATTGGAGGGAAGTTTTACTTTTTCTCACTCTCCTTCCTTCCCCTCTTTTGCAGGACTTTGATTTCTGCAACTTCTTTATCCAAGGGAATTGGCATTTAGTTGTTTTAACGTTGGCTGATGCTTTGACTGCAGATAATATCCGGTCAACTGCTTCAATGGCTGTCATATCAAGAGATACAGGATGAACGTGCCGAAGATCAACTTGGAATTCTATGGGCTGAGATCCTTAATTGTTTACGGAGGAGTCAGCCACCGCTAACTTTTGATTCTTGTTTCCTCAAACTTCAAGCATGCCTCCTTGAGAAAACACTTGGTCATCCAAATGTCTCGATTTCAGATCCTACCATCATCTTTTGGAACTCCACATATGGCAAGCAAACCAACTTGGAGTATCCTCAAAATCTGCTTCATGTTTTAGACAAGCTGTCAAGAAATGGAAGAATAAACCTCCACAATAAAAGCAAATCAGTTCTGGAAAGATGCTCTGTGTTCGAAAACAATACTGCTCCACGGAGTTGCAAGGTCACTGCAACACAGAACAGGAGCTCAAAGAGAGTAGAGTTGGAGGGTACGATTGCTCAATCTAACCAAAAGCATAAACCACCCTCGTGCTCAAAACGGAAAAGGCTAGAACTAACTGAGCATCAAAAGGAAGTGAGACGAGCCCAGCAGGGAAGGGAGAGGGACTGCAGTGGACATGGTCCTGGGATCAGAACTTATACTGGTCTTGATTTTTCACAAGGAAACGAGGACTCGCAGGAGTGTCAGGACATTCGGAATTCAGAAGCCTTGTTGGAGATACTGAGAAAAGTTGCATGACTGCCTATCTCTGAAGCCTGGTTTGACATGGTATAAGATGTAATTATCCCCTCTAATTATTTGATGTTGTATATACGATAGTTGCACACATTAATTTGCTCCTTTGTACATATTGTAGTGCCATTGGATGAACAATTATGTTAATTTTCTTAATTACAGTAAAGCAGACATGGATAAAAGGCCAGATGGTGTTTTTGGAATCATTTAATAACCTTGTTTTAGTCTTAGTTGGTCCCTGTTAAGATAAAAAACATGCAATCTTTGATAACCCCGTATGTTGTAAGAGTGTAAACTTGCAAAGTTTTAAACTCCATAAGTGGATGAAATAGTTATCCTTTTTCCTGTAAATGATTTAATACTATTATAATTAAAAAAAATTTGTTTAGTATAAAATATTTAATAAAATTAAAATTTTTATTTATAAATTATATAAATTTTATTAATATTTTTAATGAAAATTATTCGATACAATTTAAACTCTGTTATGTTTATAAATCTAGTAAATCTTATTAATATTAACAATAAAAAAATTAAAAATATAAAACGCAAATATAACTATTTTCATTAATAATTTTTTTTTAATATTTATATATATTATAAATTATTATCATAATATATAAGTCTCCAGACAAGTAACTCATGAGAATGATGGGACAAACAACCTTACTTAAGACGAATAGATATGTAATGAAATTTTGTTTAAACTTTTCAATTTCACTTACTATATTAAAAAAAATACAAAAATAAAATTCTTCTGTTTTTTAAGCGTAAATTCTCAAATCTAACAATTGAATTATAAAAAAAAAAGGGTTAAAAATGATCCCCATGAGTCAATGAGTCATCCTCCAACAGAAAAAATGAAAAATCATTGGAAAAAAAAAAAGGAAGAAAAACCCTTAAAAATCATTATCAATCATCATGTTCTTCTTGCAATCCCTTGTTCCTCCACCTCCCAAAATTAAAACAAACTGTTTGATTTGAAATTTGAACCTTCACTTTCCAAAGGGCAGTCTGTCTCAACTCCAAAACCGAAGAAAAAGAAAATATCCACTCCCAAGCAGCAAACGCCGCCCCCATTTAAAAAAGGAAAAATCCCATTAAACTAATTAATAACCTAATTAGAAAATCTAATGGAATCAGATCCAAGCAAACAACTTCATCATCTTTGATACTCCACCAAACCACGCTATCACTGCCCACTCCGCAGTTCAACACATTTCATTTTGGACTTAAAGAAAAAAAGGAAAAAGAAAAAAGGAAAGCCCTTTCGCTCTCTCTATCCGTATCTCTCCGACTCTCCCCCAAATCGGTCGCGTAGGTTTTTATTTATTTTTTTCTTCTTCCTCATTTCTTTTTCATTTCTCTTTCTGCAAATCCGACACCCGAGCGGCGAAAGAACGCAGGCCGACTGTCCTCTTTTGCAATTTCTCCAAACTTTTTGAGGACTCCCAACGATAAATCCCCCAAATGGAAATTTAAAGACTGTATACGACATTTTCTTATTAATAAAGAAGCTAGGGTTTTTCCTTTTTTTTTATTCTCTCGGCCTGAGATTTTTTTTTTCTTCGATTTTCCTTAGCCCTTCCGATTGGTCTGATCTGGTCATGGATTCGCGAGATTCATCATCGTCGTCGGCTCCGAATCGAGATGGTGCCGCCGGCGACGACGATGGCGTTTTGTCCGTCACTGCTGCTCTTGCTAAAGACGCCGCCCTTTACTTCCAGTCTAGAAAGTTTGCCGAGTGCGTTGATGTCTTGAATCAGCTCAAGCCGAAGAAAGAAGACGATCCGAAGGTAAATTATTTCAAATAATTATGCATATGAATGCATTGGTTTCGATAATGGATGCGATTGAATCGATTCATTGTTTAGCTCTTTTCTGTTTTATTTTTTTTAGTTCGAATTTGAAGTTTATTTTTTTAGTGTTTTCTTGTGTATTTTTCTGGCTCACTGGTACTTTATTATCAGCTGATTTCGATCACCCAAGTTTCTTAAAACAATTAACTTAGTAATCCAGTGTTGACTCCTTATTTATAGATGATGATTATTAATCTATACATTTTCTGTGGATTATGGAAACCCCATAATTAGGTTTAATTATGGTCATATGGTGATTTCTCTATTTATGTTAACCTAATAATTCCATTATTAATTTCTTTATTTATACTTATGCGGACACCTGGTAATCTATTAACCGGCTCCTGGAATTTTAGAACTCCATCTTTAGTGTATAGGGTAACAATCTTTTAGTTAATCAACATGTGACTAATGTATAAAGTCGATTGTGGAGTTTTTTGCTTCACCGGTGGTATATCAGGTGATAGTCATGTTCTTGGTGATGATATATTCTTTATGTTACTGTGTTACCAAAAATTCTATTCTATTGTAATGGCCTCCTACTGTATTATCAGCACGTGACAAACTTATAAAGTTCATTGTGGAGTTTTTTCCTTCACAAGTGGTGTATGGGGTGATAGTCATTGTTATTGGTGATGATAGATTCTTTTATGTTAATGTATTACCAAAAAGACTATTCTTTGCAATGGCCTCCTAACCTCCTGCTAATGAATGTAGGGTGGCTGAATTTTGGGATTATTTTAATGAAAGTACAATATCAATGTATCTGCTGTGCTTAATTGAATAAAAGCTAATTACCATATAGAGTTAGACTGGAGTATACTCATGAAAGATGGAATTTCTAGTTGGTTGAAAGTGCTGTCATTGGTTTGTTACTACAAGTATAGGCCGGAGAACTGTACACGCTACATTCGTGTCCTGTGCGATGATATGTTGATATGGGCTATCTCTTTCAGAATGGAATTGGTTATCTGAGGGCTTTAGTCAATACCAGCACGAGATATGGATATTTGTTGGAATGCATAATTAAAACCAATGTTAAAGTGGAGTGATATCTAGGCTAGAGAAGTTGCATTTCCTTTTGTTTTCAAGTAATTGTGGAGGACAACGCGGACTTTCTAAAGTGTTGAAAATTATAAATTTCAATGTTTGGTAATTTATATTGAGGATTACTTAAAATAAAGTTTTTAAATAAAAAAGTGTTGAAAATGTTAGTTAGGAACTAGTTTTTGCTAAATTTAGATTCTATTAAGTCAAGACGGTTTTAAAAACTTTATAGGCTGCATTGCCTACCTATGTTAATTTAATATTTTTTCTATACTATTTTTAAATTACAAATGCATTATTTGCTAACTAAGAAAAAGCATTATTTGCAAAATGGATCATTTATTTTAAAATATCGTTAAACTTGTTTTTCATCTTAGTCTGTTTCTCACGTACATCTAAAATTTAATAGAAAAGTTGAATCAACTAAAAAGAATGGATAATAATACGATACAGAAAACATGTGCAAGTCGTTGTATATTGTAAGATGTGATGGCTGTAAGGCCAAAATGATAGTCATTCAACTTTCAAACTTTAGTCTATATGGTAATCAGACAAATTTAAATATAGTCAGCATGAAAATTTTGGATAGCATACTGAAATACTGCTTATAGTGCAAATTAGTACTTATGACGTGCAGTAGTAAAATTCAGCATTTAATTTATTAGCATGAATTGTGTCACCATGAAGAAGTTCAGCTGCTGGATGAATTTTAACTCGAACTCCTCACTAACATCAATCTGTGTTTTTTTTTTTTGAAAACCTTTATTTTTGGTTGTAAGTTTTTTATGCCTTAAAATCACTGATAGCTGTGTTATATGAGTTAGTTATCTCTGGAGACATTCAAACCGATTTTAATATCTAATGATTGTGATGGTAACATCTCAATCAAATGCTGTTTATAAAAAGTTCTGGTTATGTTCTTAATGTGGATTACATAGTTGATCTTCTTAGAATCCTGTTTGTAGGTGTTCTGTTTTATTGTTAGAGTACAATTACTGCCCTCATATTGAAATTGCACTAACTACCAATAGCTCCTGTTTAGTGGCTTTTGGCATCTATTATAATATTGCCCTTTCTGTTGGCTCAGTCTAAGTTGTTTGAATAACTGGATTATTCAACAGGTTCTTCATAATATTGCAATTGCGGAGTTTTTCCGGGATGGTTGCTCAGATCCCAAGAAATTGCTTGAAGTCCTTAACAATGTCAAGGTACTATTTTGTTTTCCTTTTTCACCCTGGTTTATGTGGCTGTGCACTCCCAGCAATATTTCTCAGTATTAATCTAGTCATATACCTTTCGGAAAGAATTGCCAGTGGCAAAGAATAATAGTCCTGGCCAGTTCATGAATTTCGTAACTTTGAAGTCTTACTTTCACCAATTGAGAATGGATGGTGGGTGGAGGGTGATATTATGGAAAAAACTTTAACAAATAAAGAAAACCAAAAGTATGTAGTATTTTCTTTTACTCAAGTAAAATCTTTTTGGTGAGGCAACTCTGCTCAGCTTAAATCAAGGTTGTTTGTGTGTTTTTTCCTTTTCTTTAATTGCTCTCTAGATGATGTCAATTGTGTTAGGCATCTGGCAGTTTGAACCATGATTAGCTTTATATGAAACCACTGCTAGTTCTGGTATTTACTCTGGGAAATGCTTAGTGGTGGAAAGGATTATGTATCTGACCCCATTTGATTTGGACCTGTGACTTTTTGAGCCTGAATTTGTGTCACGTATATGTATTTCATCTCTAATAGCAGGGTGCCTGTGATGAATTCATTTTTCTTCTCCCTGTTGCTCTAACTAGGAAATAATAATTTTTGAGTAGGACATTGGTTGCTTTCTGGAGAAAGGTTTGTTGTATTTCTATGTTCAGGACTTATTTTGACTTACATTGGAATTATGTATATTTTTTTGTTTTTGATGTTCAGAAGAGAAGTGAGGAGCTTGTTCATGCTTCTGGAGAACAGGTGGAGTCTGGTAGCAATGTTGGAAATAAAGGTAGTTCAGGTTCAAAAGGAAGCGGTACAATCACACAACAGTTTTCTGGTTCAAATAGTGCCAGTATTATTTACACAGATGAGTTTGATACCTCTGTGGCTGCTCTAAACATAGTATGTCTCCTTTCTATAATTTCAAGAGTTGAAGAGCAATAATCTTTTCACCGGTGGCTTGGAGTAACATGTTTGTTCTGAATTGATCTAACATAGGCGGTCATTTGGTTCCATCTTCATGAATATGCAAAGGCATTATCAGTTCTTGAACCTCTGTATCAAAGCATTGAACC